TTTATTTTTTAAATAATTTAAAAAAAAAAATATTTAATTTAGTTATAAATTTAGTTCATATCATTTATTTCTACAGATATATCGGTGTAATTTTAATCAAACAAAATTAAATTAATTTTCAATAACACAAGATGGTATATTGAAATAGCTATATAAATAAATAAACTGTATTAATAAAATTAACAAAGAATTAAAAATAAATATTTTATTTACTTTAAAATTATTTAAAAGTTAAAAAGCAACGACTAAAATCCGGCAAAAAACAGTAATAACATTATTACTTTTATAATTTTATAAATCTTATTATTATTATTTTTATTATTATTATTATTATTATTGTTATTAAATTGTTTATTAATATTACGTATGTTGTATTTTAAATTTTTTTAATAATGGTTCAATTTACATAGTTCTGAGATACAATTTAATAGTAAAACAAATATTATTTATATGTGGAGTAGAGTTTTTGTAATAATTCACTTATATCTTAGCATGAAATTGTATATAAATTTATATATAAAATAAATTTATTTTTTGTCAACACAAAAAATAAAAATTAAAAATTGTTTATATTGACATATATTTGGTTTTCTTCTTAGTAAAATAATTAGTTCTTTGTTTTCGTGTTTAATATATTTGATATGATTTTCATTAGTAGTTTCATAATAACTTTTGCTTTTAAGTCTTTTTATGTCGATATATATATAATATTTTTTGTTTCTTTAAGTTGAAATAATTTAAAGGTAATAAATTTATACATAATTTTTTGTTGCTTTTAAAAAATTTTTGGATATAAAAAATTTATATATTGTGCGCTTCAGACAGTGCAGAAAGAAAAGAACAATAATAACAATAAATAAAAATTAAACTAATAAAAAACAAAATATTTTTTAAAAATAATATATATAAAAAAGCTAGTTTATAACTGAAAAATTAAATTAAGAAAAAAATATAATTAATTAATATAAAAAAAATTCCATTTAATTAAATAATTCGACAAAAAATTTAACAATAAAAAATTGAAAACAAGAAATTTACATTTATACATAAAAGTTAATATAAAAAGTATACACAATATAAAAAGTATGTATATATATATATATATAATATATTATATGTGTAATGAAATATATATATATATACTGAATAACAAAAATGATATAATATAAAAATATCAATAAATATGTCATTAAAATTGCAGTGCACTTTGTTCCAAACATAATTTCATGTGCTCTCTTAATAATTATATATATAATTATATATACAATTATATATATATATATATATATATATAAATACAAATATATATACATTTTTTTTATATACTATATATAATTTATTATTCTTTATATTATTTTCCAATAATATATCATATTAATTTCTATAATATTGTATTGCAATAATTTGTATTGACTATTTTTCAGTAGTCAATAATTGCTTTTGTATAAAATATACAGAATATATAATATATTTATATATATATATATATATATATATGTATAAAATATACAGAATTAATTATTATTCAAATTATTCAAATATAATACAATATTAAATTATTTTATACATAATTTTAGTTCACTTTTATATTTTCACTTTGGATTTTATTTTTCAATAACAAATTTTTTTTACATATATTTTAAAAATAAATTTTAATAATTAGAAAAAGTCGTTATGCTTAATTACAAAAGTATTTTATTCTCTTTAAGTTAAACACATGAAAATAATTAGTTATTTAATTCTAAAAATATATATATAATATATTATATTATATTATGTTAATGTAATATATAACATACATTTTTATATATAATTTATATACAACATAAATATAATAAATATACATATATATTATATATAATATAAATTCGACAGAATTGAACAACAATTTGTACTTTATCTGTACTTTTTTATGCGGAACTTATTTGTCTGGGAGCACCAATCGGACTTGATGTACGAGACTAGAGAATGCGCGCATGGAGCATAGGCGCCTGGAAATACGGAAACCCTGCAACAGGTGTGTTATGGCCAATTAAGTAAGTAATTTTTTATTAAAGACTTAACAAAATTTTTTTTCATACTCTCACTCTGCAAAGCTGGGACCGGTACCGAAAATTTTCCGATGCAGTGGTTCAGTTCACAGTGAATATTTTTTTATGTATTTGTATTGGAAACTATTTTTTTAGTCTTAAGTAATATAATTTTATTAATTCTATTAAATAATCAATTCTTCAGTTCCCGGATATCCTAATAACATTCACTTTAATTAACCGTTTCTTTATTTTATTTGAATAGTTCGTTGCATTTTTTTCATTATTATATGATTTAGTTTAATTATGTTTCCTGGATGAATAATATCTCTTTATATATACAATGAAATATAAAAGTTATACAATTTAGTTAGAAGTACAAATTCTTTTTTAAAAAATGTTTTGAAATGAAAAGTCATAAAGCAACAGAATTAGGATATTCATACCGAACTTATAAACTCGATGGATGATTAAGTATAAATCGGTGCAAGATTCTGATAATGATTCAATATTCTGACGTCATTTGCTCTGAAGAGCAAAAATATTACACATTTGTTATTTTAATTTAATGTTTTAAATGCTAAATGCGAGTCCACACATGAGCATCTCCTATACATAAATATTGTATCTATATATGCAGTATTAGTAGAACCTATATGAAGTATAATATCTCATATATTGTAAAAAAATTATTTCTTAAAAAATTTTTTTTTTTAAATTAAATAATTAATTTTTTTGATGTTTATAATTTAAAGAGATTGAAATAGTTTTGTAATTAAGTATAACGACTCTTTCAAATTATTAAAATTTATTTATAAAATATATGTAAAAAATATTTGTTATTGAAAAATAAAATCCAAAACGAAAATAAAAAAATTAACTAAAATTACTTATAAAATAATTTAGTATTGTATTATATTTGAATAATTTGAATAATAAATGATTCTGTATATTTTATACATTATTTATATAATTATTAATTACTGGAAAAAAATACAACATTAGATCACAATATTATAAAAATTAATATGATGTATTATTGGGAAATAAAATAAAAGAAATTATATATAAAATATATAGTGGAATTTTCATTATTTATATTTCTTCATAATATGTTGCACATAAAATTAATTTTGAAGAGATGTTGAAAAGAAATATATAATATAATAAAATTACGAAATAAATAAAGAGAATATAAATAAAAATACAAATATAAATAAATAATACAAATAATTTAAATATTATTTACTCGTAATGTTTTATACGCATTTTTAATTATAATGCATCAAAGTAAGGTATTTAATAAAAACAAATAAGAAAACAATAAAAAATTGCAATAATAAATTTATTAAAAAATGTGACCCATTTCCTTATTAATAATAAATATAAAAATTATTAAGGAAATGCCGCATATATAAATAAAATATGTGTATATATATATATATATATATATATTTTAAAAATTCACAAAACAAGAAAAATGGCGATTTAGTAAAAATAAATATTTAAATTCATAAATAAGAATTGATGGTCTGTAAAAGATAATTAAGACTTTGTGTTATATATATTTTTTTCATAATATGTATACATATTAAAACTTTTTATTAATTTTTAAATGTAAATGCAGAATAAATAATTAAAAAATTTATAAAACAAAAGAAGCTGTTACAAAATAATAAAATAAATATAAATCAATAATAATAAAATATTTAAAAATGAATAATAATAATAAAAAAAATAAAAGAAAGTTTAAAAAAAATATTTGTTAAACTATATAAATAAAAAGAAACAAAAAATCAAAATTGTATGTACAAAATATATAAATATTTACTCATAATATATATAAAGATTATGTTTTATAAACTCTAAAAGCCAAATATATAATTTAAAAATATACAAAATTAAAAATTTTTATCTATTTTTTAATAAATATTTTAATTACGTTTAATATCCAAAATTTTTTAAAAATTGCTAAAACTATTTTAACGAAATAATAAAATACTTTTATTAATCGGTAGGAATTTTTCAACACTATTTACACAAAAATTTTTTAATTTATGCTATTAGTTTTTTTTTTATTAATTATTATTAATTTAATTATTGTATTACTTTAAATAACGTCAATATTTTAACTACATTTTATCCTAATTTTTTTTCCTTTTTTTTCTAATAATATATTTATTTTACTGACATTCTTTTAGCATTTTTTCAGTGTCTTCTCAAAAAATTACTTTTAATTTTTACTATGAATTTTTAGGATTAAAACCTAATATTAAAAAAAAGAAACAATAACCAACACTTGCCTTTTTCAATTATGATAATATATATATCTATATATATATATATTTGTTTTGTAATACATTTCAATACATATTAAATATTTCATACCAAATAACTACAAGTTTAAATTTAATAATTATATTTTTTATATTAATTTAAATTTAATTATAATATTATTTTGTTCTAAATTTACTAAACTTAATGTATATATTTTTTTTAATTAAAAAACTAAAGTTTTTTATTGTCTACAAATATTAATAATTTTTATATGTTAATTTAAATATATTTATAATTATTTTTTTTTGATGCTAACTTTTCGTAAAAGTTTAAGAATAAATTAATTTAAAAGTAAAAAATTAAATAAAAAATAAGTTCTTAAAAAATAGGTACTTTCTTGTATATGTATTTGTATTTATTTGTTTTTGTTGTAATGTTTTTCTATTTTTATTATTATTTTTATTATTATTTTTATTATTAATATGTCGTCTTTTGTTTGGGCGTGACTCAAAAAAATATTTAACAGTGCGCCACCTTGCATAAAAATCATTTTCATATATCAACAGAAATAAATTTTGTAATTATTTTTTTAAATTTAATTAATTAAAAATAACTTTAAACATTTAATTACAATAAAATATTTTAATACTTTCTGTTTTTAATTTGTTATTGCGTTGTTTCAGTTTCGCTTTGCTTTGTAATTTAGTTGATTTAGTAGTGGATCTCATATCACGCATTTCTCAACACGTAAGTCACAAGAAACATGACTCCGTGCGCTAAGACTAAGGATGCTGATAGGTGACTCAAAGTGGTACCACGCCCACACTGTTGTATTTCAATTTCTTCGGGATGATAATTGATGCACTTTTTAGGACGACGTCGTTTTTGCGTTTCCTGTGACTGTCGGCGTGTACTGCAAGCGCCTAAAAGTAATAATAAAATATTTTAGTAAATATTTTAACTACCATAGATATAAAACCCTTCTCCATACAGAATTTTCCTAATAATACTAGAACAGATAAGAGAATAACTTGGTAACACTGAGAGAATAAATATAATGTCTTGAAGCACCAGATTATATTTATTTAATATGAAGCGTTACGATGTGCAAGCAGTTCTGATCTTAACTAACAAAGATTCGAAACCCTTCTCCGTACAGATTTTTTCTTATAACATTAAAACAGATAAGCGACTTACTTGGTAATACAAAGAGAATAAATGTAATATCTTAAAGCATCACATTATATTTATTTAATATGGAGCGTTACGATGTTTAAGCAGTTTGACTATACTCCAATTCGATTATTTGGATGATATACTTTGAACGATCGAAAATTTCGAGCTGTGCGGACATCATATTGTTCTTAATATTTTTTTTTACCAAAAAATAGGTGGAACATCTGAATGCATAATGGCGAAGACAATTTTTAGCTTTTGTGTAGAATGCTTAAAATAGTGTTTTTTTTTGAATAATCGTTAATGTGATTTCCAAAGACCGGAACCAATATTCTCAAAACTAATATCCTTCAGCAGGGAAACATTTTTGATGTACAAAATATGATTTACTGACGATTGAGCCCTGCTTCAAAATTGCAATCTTTAGAGTATACGCTTGGCTACTGTCAAAATAACTTTTAATAATTTTTTTAATTGACCGACTTTAGAAAAATGGTGCGGTGTTGTCTTTATTTAAGATATAATGTTTCATTACGAATTTAATTTAATGAATTTACTAGAACCGTACGAAAAATGCAATAGTGAGAAATAGAGTAATTGAAAACCATTCTGGATGACCAAAAACTGTCATTAATGATGAAAAATTCAATATATTGGATGATGATGGAATAATAATCAAGAAGTTTGCTTTATCTGTAAGCATTACCGTTGGCCACATTCAATATATATATTGCTTTAAAATTTCAAAATGAAAAGATTTAAATGCATTTGAAGATTTGTATGCCTAAACCTTGTTATAGGTACAAATGCAGTAGCTCTCTATTTGGTAGATACATTTTCGACTGTCGCAAAATTTATGGAACAATTTTATCCTAGACATTGATTGGATACTGAAATTGGAATCGAAAAAGCATTCTTATATTTTTTTTTATTTTTTTGGATCGTAACGGTCAGCAATTCTACACAGTTTAAAATTATTTTTGATTATATTATGAATTAATTTACTTGATCATGATAAATGTTATTATAGCTATTTCTTTATTACCAACTTACCTACAATACCAGACTCTTCCATTGGTTCAATATCAAGTTGTTTTGAACCGCATGGACAAAGCGTATCCACAACTAAAAGAATCAAATTACTGTGTGGTATTTTTTGCGCACTAAATGGGCGTTCACAGCCCGACACATGACAGTTGGTTAGTTTTCCCTGAAAAAAGAAACGATTATTATTCTTAAGTTCTGCAAAAATATGCTAAGAGGAAATAAAAACAAACCTTCAATGGATTGTTTTGTCCGCCTTGATTAAGGCGTTCAGGTTGTAACATATATAAATCAGTACGTAAGTCACAGCGACGTGCATGATGTGGATCAGGTGCTGAACGTGGACCAGTATATGGTTTGTGTTGTTTTGGCGGCGGGGTTGTGTATTCCTGTTAAAAATAAATGAAATTAGATTTTTTTTTTTTTCATTTTATAATATTAAAAATATAAAATTATTTACAACATCGGCGGTTGTAAAGAAATCGTCCATTTCTTCATCGACTGGTGGATTATATTCATCGAATGGTTCATAATCATCAGTATAATTGGGTTCCTCAAAAACATCTTCGTTATAGGTATAATCATCTTGTGGCCAGGCATTGATTGGTGTTGGTAACATTGATAACCAGGTGAAACTTAACGAGACAACATATTTGTAGAGCCATGAGGCTGCACGATGTGGTCGTAAAATGCCACCCGCAGCAGTATAGGGATTATCAGAATCTGAACAAACACCTTGATAATCATTAACTGTAATGCGCTTATATATGCGATCCTGCACCAATGAATCCATAATGGTGCCATCAATTTGTCCAAAAAATTTACCAGTATGCTCCATATCTTCCGATATTATGACAAAACCGCTATTATCTAACACATAACAATCAAGATTATCAGAAGCGCAGGTACGTTTGCAGCCAGTCATGCCAGTACACTAAAAAAAAGAGTGAAATAATGTTATTCATATTTTACAATAAATTAAGATTATTAATTTATTTTGTTAATATATTATTATATAAAATCTTTAATCCAAATTATAATTTAGTATAGTCCAGCATGGATAAAAAAAAATTTTAGAATATGTTGATCAAATTAATTTTTGTGCGAAAGGATCGACATTAAGCCAATCTGTGGGCTGTCGAATTTATTTTATGGAATTAGTAAAAAATTCCATATTAAATTTCTTGATTCTTACAGTGTCTTCCAAATAGAAAAAAGCAGGAAGTAATGGGTTACTATAAAAGTAATGGTTTACGCCTACAGTTATATATGTTCACACTAACAGTCCAGTAGTTATCGAAGCATTAGACGCAATGGTTACAAAAGCAAAGTCAGCTAGCTTTCATCATGTTAATGATTTATAAATCTGTAGACAGCTGCTTGAAATATTTAGGACCCACTACACTATCCGGAAAGCGTCAAATATAGTCACGTCCTAAAATCTCTATATTTGGAGAATTTTTAATTGCTACTAAGAGTACATAAATATCTAAAAATCTTCGTAGTACTGTAAGAACTTGTTTAATTAACCCTCTAATCATAAAATCAAATACCAATATTAACAACTCCGATAATATATTTCTGAATAAACTTTATATACATGTTAAATATACGAAATAGATTCTTGCAAGACTTCGAACCGAAAATATTTTCATTTTGGTTTTCGTTTTGGTTCAGATGGGATAAAAATATAACCGTCCGGTTCCAACAAATATATCTACTGTTATTCAGTTTTTGATTTTGAGCTAGTTCAAAGCCCTGTATAATTTAAAGTCAATCGAAAGATAAATTTATATTTCCGATAAAACAATGAATCTGTATTAGTTCCAAATAAATATCACACGATCACTCTTCTAATATAACCTAACTTATGTTAAGTATACATATTTACTTACCGCTGAAGTGATATTTATAAAATGCTTGGCTAATGACTCGTGCTGAAATTGTAGACCCACAACAGCGGCTGGCGCTTTATGACCACGATGCTCCACAAATATGGCATGCGAGGCTGTTACCAGTGTCGAATTCACCTTAGCAGCATAACCTGAACCAAATGGTACACTATATACGAAACTATCCTGTTCAACGGTGTGCTGATCGATGGCACGTTTATACCAAGACATATCCATAGCTCTAATATTATCCTCACTAAAATGACTGTAATAAAGAAAAACCGATATTAATGGTATTTAAAAAACAAATATTTAAATCTTTCGCTTACGGTTCAGGTGTATCATCTGCTCGTTTTATGTGATCGATCCAACGTAAAAGTCCAGATCGCGTTGCCACAAATGAAGTAGCGACAACAAACTTCTGATAACCTTGTCTGTAAAGTGTAGGAATAGTATTGCAAAAAGAAAATATTTTATTAGTTTCGAATTTGGAAGTAATTGAACGACTTTTGTGACAGTGCAATATGATGGTGATATATCGCAAGCGTAAATTGCTATTTTTTATTATAAATTTAAAAAATAACTAAGCTAATCGTAACATCCCATTAAAAGAGACTTATGATTCGCAAATGCAATACGAGTTTAATATATAATCAAAGTGATGTTTATTTTATTTTATATATAATCTCAAAAGACTTTAAAGACTATTCATTTGCAAGATACAGTGTAACTTTTTATACTCTCCAAGATGTTAAATTATAATAAACTATATTCATCAGTGCTTTTGCATGGTGCAGAAGTATGGACGGTATCACAGAATACTGAAACAGTACTGAAAGTGCTCGGAAGAAAAGTTTCTTCCTGGTACTTTTCGATCTGGAAATGTCTAACACATTCAAACACATTAAAGAACCACAACTATACAACCTTTTTAATGACTTAACCTCAATCCGCTTCTGTGCTGGCGTGAACATGTCCTGAAAATAAATCGTGGTACATAAAAGAAAAAAGCGCTTAAAGAGCGAGTTTAAAAAATAAAACATAGGAGAAGACCATGTCTCCTGTGGATTGCTCAATTCAAGGTAACTCTAACCGGTTAACATACGACATCGGGGAAGTATTTGGAGAGAAATACTATATCGCGTCTAAATCCGATTATGTGTTGTTATGGTCAAACAAGTAAATAATTTCTTTTATCGGTCATACATTTAAGTCAGTGTGACTTATATAAAGTCATTAAACTTGGGAAAATAGTTTGCATAGCTGCTTATATGTCTTTGAAGAACAATAGCGAGAAAATCAGTTAAAGATCTTTAAATTGAATCAGCGAAAAGGTGTAGCAATAAAAATTGATTTTTAAGGAGACTAAAATCTTATATGAAACCTAATGGTAGAATAGTTTCTATTCGATTAAATAATTTGAACACATACTGATTATATAGTTTTTGTTCATTTACATACTTATACAAATACTTTTATATATTATAGCAGTGCTTTATAATGACACTAATTTGAATTATATTATTTTTGTACTGAATTTGTTTGGTCTGTCATTAGTGACTTATTACTTGTGCAGGCCCCAAACTTCATAGGGTTATCATTATATTACCAGGGCAATTCTGGTCATTTGCTCTTAAACCGTGCATAAATGAAAGAGTTTTGGGAACAATTAAGCTATTCAGAAATCTTATACAGAAATTTTCAATATAGTCATTCAATACGCTTTGAGAATGCGCCAATGTTTATTTTTGTAAGAAGTCTTCAAATAGTGATCAAAGAATGAGTTAATATAGTAATGTCTTTAGTAAGGTCAACACTTTTTTAAAATTAAACGTTTGTTTAATTTTTTTTAATGACTTCTATATTTTGACTCTCCTTGAGAGTCATCATCAGGATAAGTACTAATTAATAAACAGTAATTAATATTATTAAAACCTATATCCATTCGTCATGTTTTTGGTTGCGTTGTCCATATTGCACTATTTTGAATTATCTGTTATCTATTTAGAAATATCATATATCCGAAGATTATTATTAGGTGTGTTAGAGATCGATAAATTGCAAGGAAATATATATGAGAGTTGGACTCTCCTATATAAATTATACCAAAAGGTTCATAACGTTATGATCGTAATTTTTTAATTAAATAATCCGGAATTGATTTTTATTTATTCATCACTTTTTAAAACTCCATTAGTATTTCCAGAAGATAAATTCAATATAATTTGTTTCCTCAAAGTGAATTTGAAAACCTCAAGTCACCACTTCTAGCTATTTTCATTAACTATACTTTTTTCTCTCATTATATAAGGAATATTTTAACATGAATACTTATATATACTACATATATATGGTATATGTGACTGCATTACAATGCCCTATAAACATCAGTGGTAGATGTTCAATTTTTATTTAATGAACTTAACCAACAGAGCTAATATTCTTGGGGACCTCCGGGGACCTGCTTGTAAAATTCCTTTGGTGGTTTTTAAACGGCACTTGGTTGTCGAAATTGACGAGTGGCTCGAGGACGTAGATCCGACTGATCTTGGAACCAGCTAATATTCTTAATAAAAACCAAATAAAAAGAAAATTGTTAGTGAACTATTATATACATCACATATTATAAACTTGGTTGCTATTTAAACAAGTCTTGATTATTTTCAGAAGTCAACAGTACAGTTTAATAATAACTAATAATCGAAAGACGGTTCACAGAGTGTGAGAGCAGAGATAACTAAAAACATTTGAATGTCCAGAGTAAACAAAATTTTTTTGACCTGAGACTGCCCGATCTTCAAACAGCTTTTGAGAGAGAACTTGCAATACCAATTTTGTAAAATAGAATTTTCTCGTGTTGTGATTGTGCAATGCAAAATAAAGTGAAAATTAGAAAAAGAGAAGAAATCAAATTAGCACTAAAACTCTCATTTGTGGTCTCTCATACATGAGCACTAAACAAATTTTATGCTTACTGTGAACATATGAAAAATTTAGTTATTTCTGGTAAAAGATACTAACGGACCTATTCTGTGCACTGTGCAAATGCTGTTGACAACTATAAAAATATGCTCTTTTTAAGCATTTTTTATTTTTTGCATGCATGACAAATATTCTTAACTAAAATATACGCTCCTTACAAGCATATTTATTATTGTGATTTGAATGCATGAAAAATGCTTTCGACAATTTAAAATATATGCTCTTTACAAGCATTTTTTACGAACAGTTACGAACAATTACGCACAGTTACGAACAATTACGCACAGTTACGAACAGTTTTACATACAAAACACTTTACACCATAGTGTGGTGAGAAGCATTAGGTATTTAAGCTTTGAAATTTGTCAAGATGTGTCCAGAATACCAAAAAGCTTTCTGCTTTATAATAATCAAAAATTTTATTAAAGTATTTGACAAATTTGTCAAGTGCACAGAATAGGTCCGTAAGTGTTAGTATGCCCTCTATCAAAGTGATAGAGGGTATTGTAAGTATTTGTGAACTATTTTGGAAAGACAAAAATTATTTAAGGAGTTTTTTTCTTAAGAGTGTCAATATACGTACATTAATATATTATATCGGTACTTAACTGCCTATCCACTTATAACGGAATTAGGCAACAACTCTCCAAAAGACATAATGGCTTTTCTAACTGCTACGTGTCTATGCAAGTAAAGTGGGTATGTCCCTATAATCCTTAAAGGATGCAGTGACGTGGTGAAAAATTCCAAACCCGTTTTTAAATCTAATCCAACCTAATGTATTATGTACATATACTTGTATTATCTAAACCAGTTGTCTCCAGACCAGATAAGATCGCGGGCCAATACAAATCATTGAATAAGTTGAAGGGTCGCAGAAATAAATGCATACGTTTAGAGACTTTTCGGAGCAAAATAAAAATGCGGTGATAATGAAAAATTTGTTTTTTTTAATTTTTCATTAATTTATCTGTGGGCCGTGATTCTATATAAACCATAGAATCAATCACAGAGTTTTCAAGATAGTATAAGATACTATAAACGAATTCGAGTTTAAGAGTTAATAATGTTAACTATATTTTATATATGTTTTAGCAATACTGTATCTAATATTAGAGAACTCGTGTTTCACTATTAATATATATATATATACATGAAACATTGATCTACATGCTACATATGCCGTGTTTATGTGTTTATATACATAATATATATAATGGTGTTTAGGTGTGTACATGTAAATTACCTTTTAAGTATTGCCATTAAAGTGGCTATTGGACTACATATTAAATTTTTTTTTTACATAAATATTTTATAAATTCAAGAAAGGTGAATAAAATAATAGTGGTGAATTTTAACAATGGTGAAGATATATAGTTTTATGCGTATATATAAATATTTATTATATAAATAGAAAATATATGCAAATTACAGTTAAATTAAATCATTTAAACAGTTTGCAGGAAAAAAAGAATAAAAAATAGAACACACAAAAGGTATAAAGTGCTTTAGTGCATTTAAATAACTATAAAATATTATATTTATTCATTTTAAATAATTAAAATTAATTATAATTATTTTAGTAAGTGCGGTAATATACTTAAATAATAAAATAAAGTTAAAGGAAATATTTTTTTAAACGGCAGATCATCTCTGGGCAAAGTTTCAGCTTACAATATAGCTAATATGTGGCAGAAATACAAACTCTCAGACCTTATATATCAAACCTTAAACAGGTTTATACTGACCTTAAAATAAAAAAAAAGAATTGCCTAGAGTGAATGAAACAGAAAAGGTAACAGAACCAACAGGCAAATAGATATAGACTTACAAGAAAGTGAAATGCGGTGTTATAACTGCAAATAGTATAATCGGTTGAGATAGTACTGATAGTATAGATAGTACGGTAAAGGTAGACTATTTTGAGATGCATTAAACGCTAGTTACTTTTACACTAAGTTGAGCTATGTTTGAGCGGATCGCTTAGAAAATTAATTATACGAGAATCAAGTACAACATATGGTTGATATCAAAAAGTAACACAGAATTATTATAATTCAATGTTATATTTCAATCTATAAAAGAATAATTCCAGAATTTATTTGATGGAAATTATAATAGAAAATTAGTGAATGAAACACGGCATTTAGAAACAGGACATAGAAATATCCATAAATGGTATGCAATCCCAAAAGATATAGTTATAAGAATGAAAGCCACTTTAGTTTAAACTCAATAACTATATTCGAGAATCGAATGACAGAAACGGTCTCAAGTCGCTTCGTGTTCTATTTCGGCTGATCATTCACTTAATGATTGATCGGTCCCAACGTCCCACAATATGTGAATAGATGGTATCATGTAAGTACTTTATAAGTTAAACATTTTTAATGAATGCATACAGTCTGTGTTGTTAGTTCAAGTTAGATTGGAGTGGTGGCGTTGTACATGAAAACCCAGTTTAGCATAAACAATGTCTTATTGTGACACCAATCTGTATTTGTACTCGTATAAGATATGGTAATATGTCCTTTTGTAGAAAATTATTAGACGAAATTGTTGTTCTTTGTTAATAGATGTTTGAGAAGAGTTTTGAGAATGTAATGTAATCTTACATAATTCAAATGCGCCACTTTAGTGGGATTTACAATATGGAAATCAAACAACTTCAAGACCTCTTATACGCAATATTGCTATAGAATCTTCAAGATATTTGGCGCTAATATCAACCGCGAAGAAATAGGAAAAGAATTGCATTAATTGAACATATAAATTTGTCAACGAGTTCAAATCTACAGGGTGGAAAGTGTTTGGAAAATGTTTAAAAAAAATTAAAGTGAAGAATATATATATTGATAAATTGCCCAGAGTGATCAGTTGTTTATAAAATTATAAATGAAAACAGAAAATTTCTATATAAAAATTTGTCTTGCAACAAAACAGGTATAGTCATTTTATGACATGTACTTACTGTTTATCTTCTTTGCCATTCGAAGTTGCAGTCGAATTTCTATCTAGACCATCTGTTACCATTGCATCACGTACCAAACTTTGTATAAGGGTTCGATCGCAAAAATATGGTTCGGCTTTGCGAGAACCTTGCATATTTAAATGCTGGGCAAAATGACCCACAGGTGTAGCACCATGTATAGAATGATGTGGTTGTGGTGATTTTGGACGCACCTAATACAAAAAAAATAATAATAATAATAAATAAAAATTAAATTAAATTTAAGAATATTTCATATTAGGTTTTTAATTTTATGATAAAATTGTAATACCTATTCACACATTACATAAAATTTACACTAAAAATTTTTTTTTTCATTTTAACAGTGCTTACCGACATCCACTTCCAACCTGGTCGACCAGCACGTGCTAAAAAGTGCAACACCTGCTCTTCGGGCGATCCAAAACTAGGTTCTTGATCGCGCGACGAAGAGTATTCACCAGAGTTTTCACGCTCTTTCTCTAATTCGCTTACGCTATTGTACTCGCAATACACCCAATCGGGATGTACACGCCAATTGTCTCCCTTAAAGTATTCCGTAACTAGAAGTAAGGCAGATCACGCAATATTAGAATATTTTTAATTAAAGACTTTTTAAAATAAAAGTAAATCTCTTACCATTTTTTCTTGAATGACGTATTTCTTGTTGGGAAACTAATTCATGGCTACCGTATTTTTCCGGTAGTACAACAGCTAGCGTAAATGGTGTATCTTCAATGGGACCATAAAAGTACCTAAAATAGAAATACAGGACATGAGAGTTGTAATTTTGAATGAAAACATATCTTGATCATTTTGAAGTTAATAGAAACTAATTTAAAATAACTTTTGAGCATGTTTTGAATGGGGTTTTATAAGTCTCAAGTGTTTGCACATAGAATGGGGGAGTTTAAGTATATCAGTGTAGAAAATGTCTTAAACATAGAACGTCTTTAAAGTTTTGATTTGCTTAATGCATCTGAGAAACGTAAAGTCATAACGTTAATCTTGCTTATAAGCTCATACGATTAAATTTCTTTTCAATAGATGATAAGGATCTCTTAAAGTCTATCTGTATTTATTTGCATAGTTGGTCTAAGAATTCCTTTGCAATCATATTCATCTATGATAATATTTTAATTGATGGAACTTATAAGAATAAATTTAATGGATTAATGAACTTACAAGTATTCAGTAGAAAATATATTAAAACATGAGACATTCTTCTATATTCAAGTGCTTATTTAGCAGTTTAAAAATTATGCAATATATATATAACTCCAATATATATACAAATAACATTTACTTTTTATTGTTTTCCATAAGTTGCCAGAAATAGAATAATGGGAAGGAAACTTCTCCTAAAAAACTTCTTAACGAAAAACGTTTTAATCTTTATTCTATTCGAGGAATAACATCCTTTCGGATAAAGATAGTTGCAATATAATAGATCTGATAATTATAGTGCTTCGTTGCAAATAGTAGCTCTAGTTCCTGTAGTTCATTTATCTATCCATAAGAAGTGTTCTGAGTATATTTGCGGCACTTGCAAACCCTTCTTTCGAGTTAAATATGTACATATAAGACTGATATGCAAATTCTTGAAATCTTATGAAGACTTTTCAGCTTAAAATGTTTAGCTTAATTGGAGATTATGAAGTTAGTTTTTGTCAAAATCCGTCCCGGTTATAACAGAATGGCGCATATATTCAATACAATTCAATTTTTTTCAACTTTAACATGTATTAAACCAGTACCTTAGAGAAACCAGTATTACTCTACATACCTTTGTGTGCGAGCAGTAACTCTTTTCATTTCGTCAAAATGATTTAGTACTGTGAATTCTGTTTCACCTTCTTTTGGCATAATCATATCGCTACGCATCTATAATCAATTGATATTAAAAATATATTTAATATTAAAGATATTTGGAAATTCGGCAAACTTACATCATAGAGAAGATTTTTATTCATTTCGACAACTTCATGATCATTGTCCATTTCGGTTTCCGGCAGTTCCAACTCCGTTATATCAACTGACGTATATTTTGGACGTAACTGATCGATATACTGATTACCATCACTTAATGGTCGCAAATCGGGATGATAGAGTACACGTCCATTATTATCAACGATAAACGAATATCCATTCGGTCCTAATTTATGTTGTGGAATCATTTTACGTATTTCCTCAATAGGCACGTCTGTGCCAACTACACCAAGCAAATTGGCGACACGCACCGAATGGTTCCGTCTATCGAAGACCGGAGTTGAAACTGTCGTTACCAAACGTCGTTGATACTCTGAATCTCGACCTAAGCCACCTGATTTGCCAGCAACAAAAACAGGACTCCAATGTACTGGATGATCAGCTTGATACATAATCATGGGACGTGCCATAACCAGAGCATAGTCGATAACTTTCTTGCGCGCATCATCTATATCATTGATTTGTACGAAAAAGCCTTTATTTGAACAGGCCATATCATGTAAATAGCTTCGACTACCCGAATCACTGCCAATTAGGTAAGTGAATATGCGTACAGGCATATGTGGCCAGTTATATTGCTTTATAACATCTTTATGTGATTCCGATGTACTTTCGGTTATTAACATAATAGCTTGATTGCACTGACTACCCTCACCGGATTGATTATACTAAAAATATGAAAATAATTATAGTGTAATGCATAGTTTCAATTGCTATAAATAAGTATATTACCTTATGTAGTAGACTGAATGCGTACTCCAGGCCAGCCGTAAAGTTAGCTGTGTCTTGTAGTTTTATAGCTTTAACAGCAGATTTTATCTCTTGTACATTATCGGGTGTGGCACGTACCATGCGGTCTTTAAAGCATGGTACTGGTGTCTTAACCATTTCTGTAAATGTAATCAAATTTACATAGTCATCTTCGCCGAGTGTGTCGAGTATATTAAATGCTGTTTCCGTGGCCAGTTCAAAAGATTTCTCCGACATGCTCGAAGAGGAATCAAGTAACACCATCTATTAGCAATTAGAAACGTATCAAATTGAATAACGAATCAATTATATTTTATTTTAGTTAATAGCACTTACAATATCTTTCGGTGAAGAAGCTGCTTGCACAAACCAGTTTTGTGCTCTAAAATCATGTATCTGTTTGCTGCCTTTTGAACCTTCTGGTGGCCATGCAGTACCTGGAAAACGTCTTAAAAATCCGGTAGTAGAGCCAAAATATTGCCATGATAAAGCGGGATCACGTTCCAAATTGTTTTGAAATAATGGATCTAAATGTGCGCTCCATTGCAATGCAGACTTTACATCGCTCTCGTCCAAAGACACAGCGGTTGGCACCAGTATTGAGCTTAGGCTGAGATTAACAGGTAAACGTTCAAAACGACGCATAAATCGTATATCCATGTGTCTTGCACCATCCGCCAGTTTACCATCTGAATTATATTCATTTATACGACGTGCATCATAGTGCTGACTGCTTGCTGTAGCCGATGAACTATGTGAGTCCAATTCGGATAAAGCTGCCTGTTCTGCTGAGTCCATTATGCGCTGAAAATAAACAGAAATAATTATTGAGTTTTAATGGATTAAAAAGTTTGAATTTAAGGTCACCTTAAACGGAATAATAAGTAACATTGAAAGAATTTTATTTGAGAGGTTTCGAACAGTATTCGAACAAGGGTATTCGAACAAGAAAATTTTTATTTATTTTTAATTAATAGATTTTTAGATTGATCATAAAGCTTTTTCGAAATCTCTATAGCAGTAGCTTCAATACAATTGAGAAGAATTTTTCAAGCAGCTCAGTGCCAAAGTTTCAGAGAGGATAAGCTCTCTGGTTCACCAACAGGCCACGCGACCTGCAATAAACAGAAATATTTGCAGATTCTATTGTGATGAGGAGAAATGTATGGAACATCTGATCACCAACTCTGATGCTCTAAGCCACAGTAGACACAAAATTTTAGGTGCCTACCAACTAGAGCTCTATCTCCGAAGAAGCTAGTTCAAGAAACTAATTTTCGAAATAGAAATGGGTGCACAACATATCAAGCGGGTCGTAGTACATAAACCATTACCATAAATGATATGTTATGGATGAATGGTTGACACTCTATAATATTTATTCCGGACTTTTACACGCTTGCTTCGAATGTTTGCTTTGTAATCGTCATGCTTTAAGGCTATTCTTAGTCTCAAGCTTATAAAGCACGTAGAGGCTTTAAGCTAGACTGTAAGGCTGAGCTGTGCTTCTGTGAACCATAGAGTCAAGAATTTCAGTTTATGATTGTGAAGCGCTGAACTTCTGCCAGCTAATTATACACTAAGCTGTAGTGCAGATGTGAAGGCCCTAAGCTATTACTTAACGAGAGTGCACCGCTTAGTTATTATAGTTACTAGAGAAATATCACATACAAGTACTACCAATTTATATTGATTTCAAAACTGTTATCCTTATTTGACCTTTAAGTCCGCTAAGTTGTTGATAAGTAAACCGATTGGTTCATAAAAAGAGTAAACAAGTACAAATGGAATAATTTGCAAGAGGTCTTCTTTGATGAGTTGTCAGACAATGTTCAGACGTTTTGACATTTACATTACATCCATAACGCAATCTTGTAAGGAACATAAAATGCAACAACAATAAGAAAAGAGTTTAGTCAATAAAATTTGAATACTTGTTGGAAATCGTTTTACATAAAAAGTTGGGATGTATACCATTTTATTCAATTTCACATATTTCACATCTCATTTGCATTTATAATTCAGTGTCTCCAATGTTTTGTTAGGATAACTTTATGTGTGGGTTGAGGGACTCCAATTGTCATTATATTTTTTTTTTTTTGTTTATTTTTTGCTGCAAATGTCAATGTTCCCTGTAACATTTGCGAATTTTGTATAATTTTTTTTATCTACTTTAAATAATGTTTGGAAACTTTTAAGTCAACATTATGCATTCTTCTCAGTAATAAAAAAAATAATATTCCATTAAAAAATTATAAGAAAAAATCAAAAAAAGAAGTTTGCTTTGACATTGCAAAGTTTTATTTAAAATTATTTACTTAATATTATATTCTATTATTATATGGCAAATTAAATAGCAGTTAGTAAATTTATTTGAACTATACATTAGCACGACTTTCTTCATATAACGTTCCTAGATCAGGTTCTATACATAAGAAAGAATATATAAGTCAAGCAACAAATAATGCCTTTATAAACAGAATAGTATTGAAATTTAACAATTTTTATTTTTATTTTTAATTATAATTTATTATTACTGTTTATTATTATTTATTTTTAATTATTTTTAATAAAAATATCACTATAAAATTTGTTAAATTCAATCTAGTTAGGTTTTTGTGAAGACGACTTAAAAGATTTCAAATCTAATAAATAGATATTAAATGAACTGATGTAGAGTAATAATAATTGCTAACTGTTACAGGTTACTTTTATGAACTGTTACTGCTGCAAGTCTATCCAGTCTAAATCAGTCTAAACCTAAATCTGTAGATTTTATGGTTTTCATGCGGTGAGGAGAAGATATTATTTTAACGTTCTTTGTATATTCCTTGGTTTTTGATTGAAAATTTTTTAGTGGTTTTAGCTTAAGAGGTTTTAACTCATATATTAATAAAGTGAACTTTTATCTGTCTGTATGTCTATCTGTCAGTAAGTCAAATTATTTTTCAATTACTGATTTTTATGTTTCCCTTAGGCATTTGCACTTAAGTTTTTAAAAAAATGAGTGCTTCCAACGTCTGGTACTTTTTCCCCAACCTGTTTATGGGTTGTTACATCAGCATTTCTGGAAGAGCAAACAAGTTTGAGTTCAATTTTCTTTTTCATACATTATTTTCTAACATATAACAAATAAATTCGCAGGCTTCCAAGTATGTGTATTTGTACATATGTACAAATAACGCCTTTTTTATTTCCTTTTTTTTTCTATCACTGCCATTTATGTACGCCTCAGACTTACTTTGTCATAATTGCAACTGAAAAAAAGTGTGCATAAAAAGGTACATCGGAGCGTGTGAGTGACTTTTGTCACATTACTCATTCGTGTTCACTTAGGAACACCAGCACAAACCTTCGCACTCAGCTCACAAATAAGCAAGCCATTCACAGCTTAATAAGCTAAGTTAAGAAAGCAGTGCATCCATTGTTTATATCCGGTATGCATGTTCGGTTGTAGGTCTTTCGTTGCCGTCTGCCCTATGTCAGTCTGGTTATCTGTCTATCTCTCTTGGCTTGTTTCCTCGTACCTTTTCTTTTGCCATATGCTATGCCCTGCATTTACTTCACATAATTATCATTCATAGTTCAAAGTCTTTGTGCACTCCTTTAAATGACAATTATAATAATTTATAGTTCCTTATTTAGGTGCTTAAGGGATGAAAACTTAAAGATAAACACATGGGCACTTATACACGTGAGGTAGCAAGAAAACCTAGGGGACGAACATTAAAAGAAATATTTATGTAAAATATGAATATTTCTGTAAATATTGAGTGTATACAAAACAATTGTAAATTTTATTTTAATTAAAATATACTCCATCATTAGCTATGACTTTCGGTCATTTCTTTAGCAACCATACTATTTATGAATTCCATGAGAAAGAAATTGTTTGTCTTTTGATAGATCCATTTAACAAGCCATTTTTCGTGATTTTTGTGTTTTCTGAAGTGCCGATCTTGAAAAACGCTTTGCATTGATCGGAACATATAGTAATCTGATGGAGTATGTTCTAGAAGCGTGCGGTAGATTATCGCATTAAACTGCTTTCAACGTCTTTTATACTTGTCTCGCAACATGTGGTCAAGCATTATCGTACAGTAAAATCAACTAAAACCACTGATGATGAGTACTTGGAAATACTCGAAACAGCGTTGTATGGTCAGTAAAATTTCAATAAATTACCTAAAATTTTTGTTGTTGTCTTTTTATTTCTATTCAAGCCCCTCTAACTGTTAAATAGTTAGAAGTTAGAACAAAATCAACTTACATTGTTTGTTGGCATGGGTTAATGCACGGTTTAAATCTATTACTTGATATTGGCAGACCACTTCTCTCTGATCCCACTACATACACAACAAATGTCCATATCACATATTTAAAGACCAAAAAATTTAAGGGACAGACTTGACTAAGATCCTTTTTATGGACATATATTTTTTAACAAACAAGCGTTTGTTAAATCGAAATAGTTTCACTTCAAGTCAAGACTGCGTTAACAAATCTTAACTGAATTTTTTGAAATGTAAGAATACATACATCCAGATATCTTTATGTGATGATACATTATAGTGCAATAAGACTCAAGTCTATGAATCTCAAAGTTCCGGTCAAACTCAACGTCTGGGACTTATAGACATGTGTTCACAGTCATCTCGTAATTAATTCACTGTAAAAAGAGTTCTATATAAATTTAATCTAAATTTCTAAGTCCCTGAAACAGTTAGAAATTTCCTAAATTTGACGAATTTTTTGTAGCAGTTTTGAGCAGCTTAATTCTATAGACTCTTTTACCGACAGTTGATAGTCAGTTGGTGTGTGGTGTGAAAGGTGTGTAGATCTTTTTTGTGGTGAAATCTGCATTCAACATTAAACTTTTATTTATTCTAGTTTCTTTTTTCATGAATTGCACATGCACATAATGGTCGTCTCGGATAATTTTTTTGACATTCTCGATGTAAGGTTCACGATTTTCACGACGTGACGTGAACATCTATTTTGAACCATGTTCAGTTCGTTGAATTTAAGATAGAATATTTACACAAATCTTAACAATAGGTAGATAAACTGTAAGTTACTAAACAACATCTCCAAGTTCCTATACAGCTGAATAGAATATATTGCGATCTATAGTATTAAACTCATCAGTGATCTATAATTGAAACTAATGAAAAAAATTTTCGAATGAATAAAAACAATTATTTATTTACTTATACCTTATTAATCTATTCCTTTCCATTCATAGAAGTCGCTATGCCAAGCATTTCTATGAAATCAAGCTTGTATGATGTAAAAATATATTGCTTGAAAAGAGCATAATAATGCTTTAAGGAATTCACTTATTATTTTTAAATAATTTTTAGTATATATTAATAGACATGAACTTTTAGAATTGAAAATTCAATTAAGATTTCGTTAATATATCTAAATGTGAAAGGTTGTACCTACATTAGCAACTAGCATGTCCTAAATAATAATAACTAAACTTTTTATACATCAAAGGAGGCATTAAAGCACCTATATTACAACGTATTATTATAATGATAACAAACACCTATTATCACACATATCACCAAGCTTCATATTTAAGTATATTCAAATTAGATATTATACATATTGGAGAAAAAAAATACGCTGAATCTTAAAGTCACCAAAGTATGACTTCAAAGCATTTCTATATAAATCAATAGTGCACTTTTTAATTCATATTCCGGAATATATCACTTAGAGTTCATATTATGAAAATGCAACAAACAAATTTTTGGATAGATATTAATTGCCAATAATAGCTATTAGTGTTATGC